TGATATAATTGTGATCAATATATTGAATCCCTATGCTGGGACTGGTGTATATGAAGCACAGTGAGGAGTGGGTTGTGTGTTTGATATCATTGTGATCAATATATTGAATCGCCATACTGGGACTGGTGTATATAAAGCACAGTGAGGAGTGGGTTGTGTGTTTGATATCATTTTGGTAAACATAGTGAGTCGCCAAGCTGGCGTTGGTGTATATAGAGAACGTTGAGGGGAGGGTTGTGTACTTAATATCATTTTGGTCAATATATTCAATTGTTACCGTTTGTATTGACAAAAATCAAAAGATATCCATCTGGAATGTGGTGAGTTTCATGTTTACATCATTCCTCATAACAGGATTCATTCTGTGAGTTTTAAGTCATTATTTGTTGTTGTTTTCTTGATTAAGCACAAAACATGGAGTCCATACCAAATAGCTTGAAACAGACACTTTGAGGAACAAATTAGAGAATGACTAAGGAAGGTTACATTTTATGATTTTTTTTACTATTGATATTAGAGTCTCTTCTGGCAGAAGTTATTACATAATTCTAAATGTTATTATTAGTCTTTCTGTTGACAATTCTTTAATGCCACTGTGTGTGTGTTGAATGAATTGCTTAAAAAATGCTTCCCTCACAAACCATTATCAAAACAATTACAAGGTTGAGACGAAATTAAAATAAAACATTAATATGAAGATCACTACAATATATAAACCGAATAAAATCTTTATTTTTGTCTTATTAATTGTCACTTTTATTACACACCCACAGCTGGAAATGTGAAGTGTGTCTTAATTTTAAGATACTGACGAGAAAGGAAACAGTTGTGTCCGCCGTCAAAAAGCATTGTTTGATTTTCAAATGACTAACAGAATCTACTGTCGCCGTAATGGCGCACCCAAGGGTATGGAACGTGTTAAACGTCTTTGCGGCGTGAACTTTGAACTTTTCGATCCACAGCTTGTTAATATTATTTCTAGGGTGCGCCCGGCTGGCAGGAATGGATCAGGAAATAATGTCATATATCCGCAATATTTGTTGTTATTTCATTAGCTGCTATTTTTATTGGAGTGGTTCTGGCACCGTACAATATGATATCATCTAGTTTCTTGTAGTAACGAGTTACTTGTAATTGCCTATTCATCTTTACTCTACAGTCACCAATAAACATTTTTATGGCGGTATTTCCTTTATCAATAGGAAGTTGATATTGAGTTAGTTCTTTGTTGTAGTGCTTTAATGTTTTTCGTTCAGTTAGATTAATGATATCAGTAATCGATAGTGATGGGTAACAAGTTACACATACTAGAATGCAGGATTTAAGTGAAGGTTTCTACTGTGGCACCTCGAACTTAAGGTAGTGTCCAGCTTGAACGTTTTTCTAGATATTGAGATGCTTGGGAAAATAGAAAAATATAAATCTTTAGCGAACAGGATACTTCGATAAAATGCTTATTTCATTAGACAGGGGAAGCATATCTCTATTGGATGGTGTAGAAGAAGAGTTTAAATCAAGTGACAACAAACTATTGTTAGGTTAAATACTGAAGAATTAATGAGATTACTGAACTACTATTTGAACTAACGGTTATTGAGTTTGAATTAACTGTTAGCGCTTTATGTCGACAAACGATGAATGGTTTAAGTAATCTGTAGATTTAGCTGGTGTCCATTTTATTTGTCTCGTTTGTGTTAATCGTTAGATAAAATGATTATTTACTCGTTGGATGACATTCTTTACGATTTTTTACTGTTGTAGAGAATTTGTTTGTTTGTTTGTATTTAAGCACAAAGCTAAACAATGGGCTATCCGTACTCTGCCCACTACGGGTATCGTAACCCGGATTCTGGCGTTGTAAATCCCCAGACATACCGCTGTGCCACTGGGGGCGTTGTAGAGGAAGAAAATCCAATCTTTGAAGGTTCATTGATTGCTATATTTCCTTAAGCTGTTTATTCTGCAGTATTATAGTAATATCCTTAAAGTATTTTGAAGAGTAGTTTGTTTTTGATATTGAATCTCATACTTTGAGGAATTTACAGATAAATGTCAATAAGTTCCCCAATCTCATAAAAAGACTACCCCCATACTCCACGTAAATAACACCATGAAATGACTTCTACCCCAATCTATTCAGGGCTTTCGAAGTGTCACCAAGTTTAAAACCCGACTCGTCAAATTACAAATGCCCAATGACATGAAACATGGTGTGTAATACAATCTATGGCTACAATTGAAGATTTGCTTTAAAAAAAGTAGTTAATGACATAACATGTTGCACAATGAATGTTTTTATGCCCTTCAGTGTTTTTAGTAGTAGTTTACAATATTTGAAGGAACAGAACAAATATCTAATTTACAAATCGCTAAACATCATTTAGATATTAGCAACATTTTAACAATCCAAATCATTGCATCCAGAACAAGATGATTTTCGTCCTCAAAAAAAAAAAGTAAAAAAAGTGAAGTCTTATCATTTATATGAATACGACAGGCGATGCGAATAGTTAAACTGGTGCCCTTAGAGAACAAGGACTAAAACAATACGGTGTGAACATTTAACACTAAATAAATATATGCAAACATAGACATTATTTGAACAATTAAGTTAATATTTACACCAAAAGGAAGAACTGCGTTAAAAATAGCAAGACCAAGCCGATGATGAAATAGAACATATCTATAATATAAAACAAGTCTTAACAAACATGCAATTTTGCAAAAACCATAACAACATCACCAGGACGCAGACTAAAATGTGGATTATAAGATATGTCCTCGTTTTTGGAAATGGGTGCGGAAGTAGGACCCACATTACGGTGAGGATACATTGTCTATAATTCTTAACCTCAATTCACAAAGCCTCACATGTAAAAAAAGAAAAAAGAGTAACGTAAGAAAAACTAAATATCAGATAACAGAGCAAGATATCGCGGCTCAAACCCATAATGTCCCACATCTATATCACCTTTCACTGAATGCGCGTAGTTGTGAGAACTTGAATAAATGAGAGAGAAATAAGATCCTACCATAGGGGGTGGTGAGTAAGAAGACCTTATCGCTTGAAGTTGGCCTTCCAGCCCTAATTACTGTAGTAAAAGCTCAAAATTAATAAGGTGAAATTAATAGCACAGAAAACTAATCATTCTAGACGAACAGCCATACCGAGTTATCGGAACTAGTATATTACCCATCCTCCACTCATAAAGTCTACTGTAACTACTAATTTTCATCATCATCAATTCGCGGTAGGGGTATGGGTATGGGGCAAAGAGACATTTTACTAACTTTCAGATGCCTTCTACCTTTTATAAGAACTTGTGTATTCATTCATGTTAATGATATTAATACACGTACGAAAATAGTGCCAATAATTTCTTATTTAAAAGATCTTATTAAAAAAAATAGATATTAAAGATTATCACAAATTTTAACCTGAATACCTTTAATTCTTATTTCTTGATATTTAAGTATCACATTTTTATATTTCTTAAAAATATTTTGATAAATATTTTTAATGTTTGTTTTTCAAATCCCTTAAATATTTATTTTTGTATCAATATTTCGAGATTAGCAGTAGAATATTATAATTTGTTACAAATTCTAAAGAAAGTGAGTAGTTGTGAATTTATACAACTTATGATTGAAGACTATGGAATATTACTGTTAGGAGAGGATATGCCGTATATCGGAAAAGGAGAGGATAGGTAGTATATTGGGGAAAAAAACATTTCTTTTACCAAAATATTTAAATTAATATCATTATTATGTATTTTAATTTCCAAACCTAAATAATGGAGAGTATTTTACAGCCGAAGCAAAAGACCTTGAAGAAGCACAACAGTTTAAGTTCGGTAATCAATAGAAAAATTAATAGTACTGAAGAGATTCAGTACAGACTGAACATCACTTAGATGTTCCAGATGTGTTCCAGTTCTGTAAGAGTAAGATAACTACTGCAGTAAAGGATCGTCTGTATCAGGCAGTTGCATTTGCAAGATCCATGTCCAGTTCAAAATCATTGGCCGGGATCAAAAGAATGCGGATACCTTTGAGATGTGAGGGTTATTGCTGAGTATTGAGGGTGTCATGGACCAAACGGAAAACAAACGTTTGGGTGTTGCACAAGATGAGGTTGGAACTAAAACTGAACATATTAATCTCGGCAAGAAAGTTAGATTTCTTTGGTCATGTCAGAAGGTGTAACTGTCTGAAGAAGATAATACTTTATGGAATGATTGAGGGACGACAAGGGAGAGGAAGGCCGACAACAATATAGACAGGTTATATCAAAACATGGATAGGCAGCGATATAGAGATCTCTCAACATGGATAGGCAAGTGTTTGATAGCTGCCATCAAACAAGGTGATAGTCTGGCACGATATGGAGATCTCTCAACATGGATAGGCAGTGATTGATAGCTGCCATCAAACAAGGTGATAGTCTGGCACGATATGGAGATCTCTCAACATGGATAGGCAGTGTTTGATAGCTGCCATCAAACAAGGTGATAGTCTGGCACGATATGGAGATCTCTCAACATGGATAGGCAGTGTTTGATAGCTGCCATCAAACAAGGTGATAGTCTGGCACGATATGGAGATCTCTCAACAT